TGCGTATTATAAAGTCATAATTGTGAGATATAAACATGCAATTCTGAGAGAAAAAGTCAGAATTTCAAGTATATTTCTCGCAATTGCAAGTTGTAATCTCATAATTCTGACGCAACACGCAATTGAATGTATAAAGTGACTTTATATCTTGCAGTTCTGACTTTATAATGCACAATTGAGAATTTATTTCACGCAATTCTGAGGAAAAAAGTCACAATTGTGTTTAAATCTCGCCATTCTGTCTTTTTTTTTCTCGCAATTGCGACTTTATTTCTCAGAATTGCAACTTTATTTCTCTGAATAAATGTAAACTCGCAATTGTGAGATAAAAAGTCGCAATTACCTTTTTTGTTTTTCATTCTGTGGCGGAAACAAGCTTCCATAGTATATAAATATACTGTGACATAGTTAATCTGGTTTGTTTATTTATTTTTGGCTTGTAGAAGTTCTGAATGGCCGGTAACTTAAAAATTTAGCAGCCAAATTAGCCGTGAAAAAGTTAATTTCAAGCCCTGGCTGCAACTGTGAAGTTGAGGACAATAAGAGCGTTCTGATGATACTCTGCTCTCTGCAGGACACGGTCCTGGACATGATCAAGGACGCCATGATCGCCAAGGCGGACACCTCGAAGGGTTACCTGATTGACGGATACCCTCGAGAAGTCAAACAGGGAGAGGAGTTCGAGAAGAAGGTAGAAGAACTATTTGCCATCAACATAGACATTTAAATCTTCATTTACCATCGTTAACTCAAAGCCAAAACCTAAAGGGCTACATTAGTTTAGTATTGGAAGTTATACGTTAAAATGATAACTGATGAGTAACTGGTGATAACAGATGAGCTGTCATGAGTAAGTCATGAATCTCCTCTCTCTCTCTCTGTGTGTGTGTGTGTGTTGGGTCAGATCGGCGCTCCGGCTCTGCTGTTGTACATCGATGCGAAGGGCGAGACGATGGTGAAGAGACTCATGAAGCGCGGCGAGACCAGCGGCCGAGCCGACGACAACGAGGAGACCATTAAGAAGAGACTGGATCTGTATTACAAAGCCACCGAACCCGTCATCGCTTTCTACGAGCAGCGCGGCATCGTGAGGAAGGTGACGAGGCGTTACATTCTCCTGAAACATCATTCAGTTACACATCACACAGCCTGCGTTTACACACACAACTTCTGCTTCATTGCGACTGAATTCATTCCGATTGATGAATATCTATATCGTTACGATATTTCAGCATCATTACGCTATTTCTACGTCATTAGGCTATTTCTACGTCATTACGCTATTTCTACGTCATTGCGTTATTTCTACATCATAACGCTATTTCTACATAATCATGCTATTTCTATATCATTTTCGCTATTTCTAAGTCATTACGCTATTTGTACGTCATTTTCGCTATTTTTACGTCATTTCCGCCATTTCTACATCATTACGCTATTTCTGTCATTGCACATGCGCATTCCTATTTCAAATTCAATCCCATTTCTAGCGGATTATCTGGTTGCGTGTAAGCGTAGCCATTGCTCGTCTGTTAGTTGTCCTCAGTTTAACCCGTTGAATGTTTCTCTCTCTCTCCTCCTCCAGATAAACTCTGAGCTGCCGGTGGACGAGGTATTCGCAATTGTTGAAAAAGCTATTGATGAGCTGAAGTAAAAAGCACTTGACGACAAAACCTGGTTTCTTTTGCATTTTTTCTCATGTATACGTCTTTATAGAGCCTAGTCTATACTCTCTTCAAACTACAGAAGGATTCAAGAACCTTCAAACTCGACATCCAGAAGTGTGTGTGTGTGTATGTGTGTGTGCATTCATTGGTCAAACACACCGATCCAGACTTTAAATAAGCAAACCTTCACAAGTTCACGTTTTTTATTGCACAAGATTGGAAAACATCTCTACACTGCTTGATTGTGATTGGTTGAGCCTGTTCCAGAAGTAAAAACCCCGGTAACACTTTAGAATACGGTTCCTTCGTTAATGAATAACTATAAGAACTAATGAGTAACACAATATTAACAATCTAGTAACTATTATTAACTAACAAGAAACTCTGATTAACAAACTAGTAAGTAATAGCGCACAGACGAAAGTGGTAGTTCACTATTAAGTAATCAATAACTACTATTTTTTTAATACTTCCCAGGGAACTACTGAAAAAGTTTATTAACAATCTAGTAACTACTATTAACGAAAATAAATTCTTATTAACAAATTAGTAAGTAATAGCTCACAGATGAAAGTGTTACTAGATACTTCTGTGGGAGTTACTAATTGTTTGGATTCGTATTATAAAGTGAAGATCATTGGAACGAACTAGTAATTACTCAAGTGTTACTAAAGACATTTTCTAAAAGTATACTAAAGTTCACCAAAAATCTCAAACGGTTGCACAAATCATGACTAGATCATGTAGTAACACTTGAGTAATTACTAGTTAGTTCCAATGATCTTCACTTTATAATACGAATCCAAATAATTAGTAATTCCCACAGAAGTATCTAGTAACACTTGGTACTTACTAATTATTTGGATCCGTATTATAAAGTGAAGATCATTGGAACTAACTAGTAGTCGGGGCTCATTTGCATATTCATAGAAGGTTGGGTGTCGAGTTACATTCAAGCTATTTTAAGGCATTAAAAAATGTTTAAATATATGATTTTGGTGATCAAAGATGATTTCTACGGGATAAAATGATTGACTTGAGTGGTTTTAGCTGTAGTTAACTGTAATAACAGCTGCTCTGGTGTCAGCGCTGCTCTCTGGTGGACAGAACTGCTCACTGAACGCCACAAGATCATGGTGATAATGAGACCCAAAGGTGTCCAAACAACAGACACACGGTCAGGATGTTTCCTGGTGTTTCAGACTCACGGGTTCGGAAAGCACAGGATCCAGATGCTTACTTCCAATGCTGGAGAGAGGCTGCGGGATCATCTCTGGATCCTCACACACACACACACACACACTCTCTCTCTCTCTCACACGCTTCCCGTGAACAGAACAACACTTCTCCAGGTTTCCTCTGAGGAACACTCGTCTGAAGAGGAAGAGGAAGAAGAAGAGAATGTGTCTTGAAGAACAAACGTCAGGTTATGTGTGGAATGTCACACACACTCGCAGACGCATACCTGAAAACATCCTGGAAGGAAGTGTGTGTGTGTGTGTGACTAAAACAGTAAAACCCTAACTAAAACTAAAACAAGCTTAACTAATCAGTAAGTAGGCTAATATCTAATCTACTAAAATAGGTCCTTTTCAGGTAATCAATAATTAATTAATGAGATTACTTAACTTGTGTGACAAATTATAAAGAATTATATATAATATAGTCATAAAATGCATCACTAATTACTCAAGCACAGTTCGAGGACTACTAGTGATCTGAAGATTATTTTAAAATTATTTTTAAGATTAAATTAAAATAATACATTTAATAATACGTTCCTGCATAGAGACTATGCAACACTTGAGTAATTTTTGATGCATTTTATGACTATATTCAGAGTAAACAATATAACTGATTATGTCTCAGTCTCATAATTTGCAAGTCCCAGTTAATGATTCTAATCTCAAGTAATTATTGATGACCTTATAAGGACCTACCTGCTTAATTTGATATTACTTACTTACTAACTTAAGCTTGTTTCTATATTAGTTAATAGTGGTAGCTGAAGTGTTAATGTAGGTAACATTGCTCATAGTGTTGGGTGTAACTCATTACAAGTAACATGAGTCACGTAATCAAATTACTTTTCAAGTAACTAGTAAAGTAACGCTGTACTTTTTCAATTTACAACAAAATATCTGACAAATACAACAAATATCTCTACTGTACTCTACTGTACTCTACTGTAGTCTACCTCTACTGTATTTGATCTCTACTTTACAGGAGTGAATATGCATTTCCTTCAGCCTGAGGCTTATTTATTTCACTTTTGTTGTTTAGGGGCCTTAACATTTGCCCAAAATAGCCCTTTTTTGCAAGACCAGCCCATGAAAAAGTAATGCAAAAATAATGTAAAGTATTACTTTTCATAAAAACTTAAAGTTTACCCAAGTAGGCTCAGTCTAAAACGGACCCATCAGGAGTAACTCCTGTGTGTGTGTGTGTGTGTGTGTGATCCTCAGAGGGCCATAAGGAAAGCAAGGCCTCGCGCAGACACTTTCCCTTTGTGTAACGTGTTGTTTGCTGATGACATGGAAACGAGTGGCACCGCGTTCAGACCAACAGACAGAGCAGTGTTTCCTGCCATTGAGTGTGTGTGACGGTAGACGTGCAGAATGGGCTTCGTGTTATTTGTTGACGTACATCAGAAGCAGCTTTGAAGACTGAAGGACACACACACATGCACACACACATCTCCGTAAAAACATATGATTGTCAATCATTTCAAATGAGAGAAATTGGTAATAGTCCATTTACTGTAAAAAGTGAAGTCAGATGAATATTTATTTCAACAGTACACAGAAGAACTTATTCAAGCAAATCACATGCAAAAAAGTTTGCACAATTGTCTCTTATTTGCACAATTACTAAATGCACATGCGTATTTCACAAACTTATCAAACTCTTCACAACTTCTTACTGTAACACTCTTTCATTGTGTGAGTCATCATAAATATCGGAATGTTTTTAATGTCTTTTAAGTTGGAAAATGGCCTTCCATTCTAATGATATCATAATCTTAGATAGATAGATAATAATTTCATTAACTGAATCTCTCTCTGGACGGACATGAGTGTCAGTAACTGTCCTGCGCCTGAAGAGGGAGACGTCATCGAGTGTTTAATTCGCGAGAACTTCTGCGCATGTGCAAGAATCATCTTCATCTTCATCAATCAGTTCATCTGATAAGTATTGATTAGAATATAATGCAAGCGATAATCACTCCATATTTACGGTCCATTATTGCGCATAGGACTCAGGCCGTGTGTTGGAGTGTGTTTGTGTGGGAGGGTCAGTGTGATGATGATGACGTCACTGCCGAGGGTTCAGCTGGACTTCTCGACTGACTGGATCTGGTCACTGGAGGAGCAGATCACTGAGCGCGCGCCCGTGCGGAGTTTCCAGCGCGAGGTAAAACTCGTTCGCGTGTTTTCTTTAAAAGTGAGTGTTTGTGAAATATGTCTGTGATTAGTTACATTAACTGTGATCATAGAGGTTGGTATTTGCTATAATAACGTTCTAGATGCGCAGTAATGAACTTTGTACAACTTTTAAGTGATTGACATTTCATAACGAGTGAATTTTATTTTTGCGATATTTAATCCGACAGTGGTTGAGTGTTATATATATTCATAATCTAGAGTTGTGGATGTATCTAATGTCAATGTTATGATCTGAAGGTCTCAAAATCAAGTTACCATTACACCGGGATTCAAAACAATCGATTATTCAAATTGGGTGTTATTTAAATCGTTCATTTGGTAAGATTCATCTCTATTAGATAAATACATGAGCAGTATAGAAGGAAGTTATAAAACTATAACATATATATTTGTTAAAAAAAACAAAAACAAAACAGATATTAATAAATGTAAACGTGTCTGAAAATCCCAAACTCAAAATACTGATAAATGCTGTTAAAGATAGTCTCTGCTTCCATCAAACTAATGCAGATTTCTCTCACAGGAAGTATTGAGTGGAATATTTTGGTCACTGCCCTGAAATATCAGCCGGAGTCCATCAGAACACACTCTTTCCCAGCAAACCACACTGAAGATGATGAAGATGAAGAGCATCACGTGTCTTATAGCCGTTCTGCTGTGTGTGAGAACCGCAGCTTCAGGTAAGAGTGTGTTTCACATAATCTGGGTTACACTTTATTTTACAGAAATTATGCATAATTATACATGCAACTAACCCTCAACCAAACCCTAACCCTACATACTTAATATTACTTAAATATATAATTACACTGTAACAATGACAAGTGTAACCGTAATCTGTACTGACATATTATGCAATGGCAATGAGTTAAAAATGAAACCTTAGAGATCCTTCAGAAAGAGGAAGTGCTGTGTTCAGTGTGAATGAATATCTGCTGTTTCCATGTAGATGGGTCAAATGTTGAAACAACTAATAAGTGTGTGTTTAATAGCACTTTAACGTGTGTGTATTGAGCTGTGAGGTGTTTGAAATGTTCATATGACTCTGGATGCGTTGAGTTTGAGTCGGTCTAGTGTGTTCGATCGGCTCTTCTCCGGATTCTCCAGGTGTGTTGTGTTGGTCATTACTATACAGATAAACAGAACGTTCTAAGAAAACGGAGTTTAATATATTTAAAAATGAAAACGTTACTCATACATATTTCATGGGGCATTTTGTTTTGTTTGGATGTTTTTTAAATGTAACAACTTGTCTCAGAATGTTCAAATGTAACAATTCCGTAATGTTGAAAATGGAATGTTCGCAAATCTTCAAACTGAATTCCGAAATAAGGTTTTCCTGACTTCCTTTGTTTTTGTTGGTTGATGCTCGATGTCTTTGCGTTTAAAAGACGTCTAATAGGCGTCCAAACACAGCCTGACTTCTAACCAACTGGTTTATGTACATCATGAATGACATACAACCAAAATCTCATGTTAAATCTGTGTGAAACATATACAGAACGTTCTAGAAAAGAAAACAGAGTTTAATATATTTAAAAATGAAAATGTTACTCATACATATTTTCATGGGGCATTTTGTTTCTGAAACGTTTTGGTTGGATGTTTTTTAAATGTAACAACTGGTCTCAGAATGTTCAAATGTAACAATTCCGTAATGTTGAAAATGGAATGTTCGCAAATCTTCTGAAAAACTGAATTCCGAAATAAGGTTTTCCTGACTTGTTTTGTTTTTGTTGGTTGATGCTCGATGTCTTTGCGTTTAAAAGACGTCTAATAGGCGTCCAAACACAGCCTGACGTCTAGGCTAACATACACAAGGCAAGACAGAAATTAAATGAAACCAAACTTCTTGGATCCACTGTTGACTTTGGAATATCTTACATCTCGCAAGTTATTTTGGTAAAAACTACATGTAACCAAATTCATGGTTATTTCGGTTTGAAGTGTGTAATACTCATATATCGGGTCTAGAGTGACGGATATTGGGTCAGAAGCTTTCCAGACACACTCATCTGATTTACGTTTGGATGTTATCCGTTCTGCAGTGTGTGTGTGTGTGTGTGTGTGTGTGTCGTTGATCTGTCGCGAGAGTTTGCCTGAACTTTCACTTTGTGTCTGACTCTGCTCAGCAGATTTATTAATGTTTCCCTCCTGAATCATCACTTTTATCAAAGCAGCTTCACAGTAATCAAACTTATCAAATATTCAGACAATAGAGTCATTACTTTCCTTACTTGGTATTTCTGCCTTGTTGAGTGTGTGTAAAATGCCATACGATATTAAATCTTGTTTTCTGGGGAAATAAATCAAAATGAAGTGAGATGTTGGTTAGTTATCTGCCAATGGGGTAAGACAAAATCATCTTAATTCAAATAGAAACCAAATTATTTTTCTGACCCCATTAATAATTTTAAAGACATAATATCCGATGGTATTTTACTCATCTAGTAAATGCTTCTTGAGATGTTGGACTGGAAACGAGACACAGATACTGAGTGTGTGTGTGTGTGTGTGTGTGTGTGTTCAGTTCTGCTCAATCACTGTGGAAAGGAAAGTTCATCAATTATGAAACATCTCAATTGAGTTCACTATGAAACAGTTTGTTGATAGTGAAACAAAGTCGTTCGGTGTGTGGTCAAACAGTGGGAGCTCAAGATGGCTTGAGTGTGTGTGTGTGTGAGTAAGTGTGTGTGTGAGTGAGTGAGTGAGTGAGTGAGTGAGAGAGAGAGAGTGAGATTTTCAAAAACCCTTTTTTTAGAGCCAGACCGATATATTGACAGGCCGATATTATCGGCCGATATTCGGCATTTTGATAAATGAATATTTCAAAAATAAAATAAAAACGGACGAAACATGCTTTAACCATGTCATGAGTGTTGGAGTTGAGTTATAGTTTGTCCACCAGAGGGCGCTCTACACCGTCCCTGTTGGCAACACTTGTGTATAACGCGCCACACATCCTACAACCTGCTGATCCAGCCAGAGTCGGGCAGAGAGAACCAGTTACGCATTATCATATTATTTTAGTTAAAACTCATAATTAACTACAAAGAACTAATGTTAGGGAAATCTGTTAATATTTTGTCGCACGTTTCTGAAATAAAAAAAACCCCAATAATATCGGCCGATATATCGGAATATTGGATTTTAAAACCAACAAATATCTGTATCGGTATCGGGCTCTACCCCTTTTACATTACGAAACCAATAACTGCCAAACAACAGCATTGATAGTAAAAAACAATATCAAATTTTCAATAAAAACAATCTTAAAAGAAAGAAAACAACTCTTGTTCAACAATTTCACAAAGGATCTTATTTAAACAGCACATTACTTCAAAAGATAAAAGGGAAACACGTTACTTGAATCATGACATGACACATGAATATGAAGGAGGGTTTATGCATGTTTATGACAACTGTCATTGAGTGTCATTCGCTTTTAATGCAAATATGACATTGTTTGAGATAAAAACTTGACAGAAACCAATACATCATAACCTGTCAGTGTCTTTGTCATGACAACTTGACATTACTAAGACAACACAACCTGTCATAAACATGACATAGCAGATTACTAATGGGTTAACATTACATTAAACTGTCAGCTGGTTGGTTTTGACATCGTCTGTCATGAAGTCATTATAACTTTTTAATGACAAATTCAATTAGTACCACTGTAGTCAAGGTCACGGAAATATTCATAACACAGTTATAATACAGCCAATGTCAAAGACAACCACATGACAGGTGGTTTCTTAAGTTTGATCATTAACCTGTTATGTCATGTTTATGACATATTTATAATGTATTGGTTTATGTCAAGGTGTCATAACAAAGACATCTCAAACAATGTCATATTTGCATTAAAAGCGAATGACACTTAAAGGGATACTCCACTTTTTTTGGAAATAGGCTCATTTTACAACTTAAACAGTTGAGTTTTACCGTTTTCGAATCAATTCAGCCGATTTTCTGATATTTAGAAGAATATCTGTAACCAGACAGTTTCTGCTCTCATTACAGACATTCTTCTAAATATCAGAAAATCAGCTGAATACATTCGAAAACGGTAAAACTCAACGGTTTAAGTTGTAAAATGTGCCTATTTCCAAAAAAAAGTGGAGTATCTCTTTAACCCTTGTGCATCCTTATGGACATTTTTGTCCTTTTCAGTTTTGTTTTTTTGATCACTTTGCCTGTGTGTTAAAGCTAACTGCAAAAAACTTGGCACAGGTGTGTTTTTTTATTGGAATTTCACCGTCATTTTCTTAAAAAAATATTTTTTGCATTAGGTACAAAAAAATACTCCCTCTCAGCACCTTTTGGACAAAAATGTCCCCATTGAAACCCATTAAAACTGCCATTTTTAATCCCCGGTTCAGTTAACTATAAAATTATGCAATCTTTGTTAAGAGGCTTTCATTCTGATGGCAAGGCTTCAAAATTTAATTTTTTACTATTTTTTATCAGATGGTGCCATTTGGCTTATAAAACAAATATCGCTTTATTCCTGTTTTCTGCTTCGGCATATTATAGAGCCAACTGGATAAATTATGCAACAATATTTGTGTGGGTGTGTTGGTATGGATGTCAGAGTGTGGTTAGTATGTGTGTGTTTGTAATACTGAGAGAGAAAAAGTGCAATCACTGTGAGCTCCAGTGGGGTTTTGCTGCCACCCAATGGGGAAAATATGTTACTACGCCCAAACAAACTGTTACCCAAAGCTCATTTTTTGAGATATCATCCTCAAATTTGGAACACAACCTATTTAGATTTATGGCTTTGATTTTATTGCAGTTCTGAGTTCAACCTGATTTATAAAATATATATTTTATCTAAAATATTTTTTATAAATAATTTTCATAAACTTTTTTTTGGATTTACTTATTTTTTATTTTTTTACTTCAGCAATAATCTGCAAAGGGTCTTCTTTAAAATGATACCAAACTTAAGTCTGTGCTCCGAAGCGTCACATTTTTATGACATGGACATCTTTGTCCTCTTTTTACCTATGTGTAACTTATTTTTAATTGATGCACAAGGGTTAATGACAGTTGTCACAAACATGCATAAACCCTCCTTCATATTCATGTGTCATGTCAGTCTTATACACACCCCTTCAAGTAAAGTGTTACCGATAAAAGAGCATGCATTAATCTATAATAATGAAAATCGATTAAAAATCCTATATTTGTCTCAAATTGTTACAAACATTTGCAAATGTTTTCTTTTCCTGCACTCTAAAAAATGCTGGCTAGTTTTAACCCAATTGTGGGTAAAATATGGACAAACCCAGCCATTGGGTTACATTTTTAAATTACATTTTTAACCAAATGGCTGGGTTTGTCCATATTTTACCCAAAATTGGGTTAAAACAACCCAGCATTTTTTAGAGTGTGTGGCGTGTTTGCGGGGCCGAACGAGAGCTTCACGTGCAGAGAGAGAGAGAGAGAGAGACAGCGCTGCTGCTGAATAACACACACTGATGGCAACAGGAAAAATCCCCTGTTAAATATGGCGTGTCGTGTTTAAATGAGGCACTTCCTCGCCGGCTGGTCTGAGACCTGCTGACGCGACCACATGGAGACCGATGGATATCTGCGCTCGCAATTAACAATCTGTGTTTTCCTCCTCGTTTCATTCTTGTGCTGGAGATTTGCTGGATAAACCCGT